GCCGCCCGCACCGCCCGCGGCACCGCGGGCACTGCAGCGGGGACAGCGCCGGGGACAGCGCCGGCCCAGGCCGATGCGGCGGCGCGGGGCCTGCGGGCTTGGGCTGGAGCAGTCGGCAGGATGTGCCCCACCGCCAGCGCCGGAGCTTCCAGGTCTCAGTCTTTCCCTTCCAGGCAGGGAACAGCGGGGATGGAGAGGTGGGGGCTGCGATCTCTGGAGGAGATGGGCGGTGGAAGTCGTGTCTGCCTTGGGCTGGAGGGAGAGGATGTGTTAGCTGGAGTTGTTCTTCTGGAATAAAATTTATAGGCTTCTGCTTCTCTGCGGGTTCCGATGGGCGTTTTGTGAGGGATTCTGTCTTTTCATGCTTGGAGTGATGTGAATTCAAACCAGATACGGCTTCTGCTGTTACTGCCAAAACCTTTCTGTTTGCTTCAGCGCTACTCACTAAAAAGAGTTCTCTTGTCCCCCCACCTTTGTGCTGAAATTTGTTTTGTATCTATTTTATCTGTTTCAGTAGGTAAGATCAAACTGTAAGGCTGCTGGAGGAGGGATGTTTATTTTGCGGCTCTCTTTAGTTAGGGAAATGATTAGGAAATGTTCCTTAAATTGCTGGATGCAAACAGCTTTGCGGTGGAAAATGACTGGCTTTGTGTCATTCTGGGGAAAAGGGCAGATAAAGATGTATATTCATTATTTCTCTAAAGGATCTCATTGAGATAAGTGCTCTTTTATGCTTCTGGAGTGGATGCATCTTTTTAAACTGCAGCTTACAGTGGGACTATGCAGATTCAGTGTAGAGGGGGTGTTTTCCATGCAGACCGTGTTGTTCCATCTGTTATGCTGCGGTGAGGTTGCTATCTCCCTTCTGGATCATGCAGCAGGAAACCTTGAGCTGTCTCCCAGGCGCTCTGCTAGCCAACTCAGGGAATTTCTTTTAAGAGGTCAAAATGCAGCTGGAGAGTTAGGGCACAAAAGCGTTTTGGCGCATTGTCTGCTTCCGTGGGGATGATGAGAAATGAGCTCATCCCTCCTCTGGTTTCCTGCAGCTTTTTGAGGTTTAGCATCCTTCCTTCCGTAGAGTTCCAGCAAATTGGCCAAATGATTGACAGGCAGTTAGGAGCAGGATGTAGGAAGACAAAGTGTGGTAGCAGAAACTTCCTTTTACTGAGGAGAATGGGCTAAAAATGTTCAATTTTGTTTGCTTTGCATACATCAGATGTGACACATGCCAAGACTACTGCAGAGTTGAAGCATTTGGTGGGCAGGTTGTTTGTTTAGATTAAGAGGCCCTGGAAGACTTCAGTAGTTCCTGAGGTATAGTAAAGGCTAAGTAACTGAAAAAGACTCAGACAATGATTCAAACTTGTCATGGTGGAATTTTCAAATTCCTCGTGAGTCTGAACGAAACTTGCTGTAACAGAACAAGTTAAAGCATCCCCAGCAGGCACATCCAGTGCTTCAAAACCAACTGGACATAGAACTTCAGGATCATGGAGGAGTCTTCCCTGTCACAAGCAGCTCTCACTGATAATGTCATTCATAAATTATTAAAGACTTCCTTAAAATATTTGTAGTCCATTATTTTCCATTACTCCTAGGGCAAGGCTATTCCTTTGCTGCTCAGGAATCTTTTGCCCGTGGTCCCTCTTTGTTTATGCCCACCTTTTCCTGTGTGCTAACATTATGGTTTTGTTTGAAAGGTTTGGTTTTGGCTTTGGTGTTTACATGTTTGGTGTATCTAAGGACAAACTATCAATTCTTGTTTTGCAAAGCTGGACAAGCCAAGCTCTCTGTTCTCCTTGGGAGAGGCTCTTGCTTTACCCATCCCATCAGCACTCTCTGCAGCCTGTTAGGTCCTGAAGTCTTACGTTCAGAACTTAAGCATTGAAATAGTTTACAACAATGTTTTTTGCTGTATTGCAATTTTATTTTTTACCTTCTCTTTATGGGAGGCTTTTGGCATCTCCTCTGTAGCTTCTGTAAGCTCAAGTGTGATTTTACTATCATGTCTTGGAATGTTAGATAATAGTGTGATAAAAATGCTGCTGTACTATTGACATTGTTTCATAACCACCAGTTTTTTGATGCTATTCTGCTGCATAATTCAGATGTCATATGAAACATCTTGGCTGTGTAAGTCTGCTGTTTCCTTAGTCCAGTAAAGATTAATGCTATGCCCTGCCTTTTCAGGCCATTTCTTTTAGGAAAGATTTTTTTCCCTCAAACTTCCCATGTAAGGGAAAAGACCTAATTTGTTTTGGCTTCCTTGCAGGAGCTCAGAAATCTCTTCCACTTCTGCAGGATGAGCTCGCAGCAGGTGATGTCTGTCCTGGTGCACTGTGCTTTCTTCCTCCCTTCCTGGCTGGTGTGGCTCTTCCTCTGCAGTGCTTCCTCAAGTGTGCATCTGTGGGCCTGGGGAGGAGGATGAGGAAGGGGAGATGTGCAGAGGGGGAATTTTGGGTAGCACCTGCCTGCTCACTGCAGCTCGTACACTGTGTGTGCCTGTGGGCTCCAGCACATGCTGAGGGGTGGCTGACATCAGGCTCTGAACATCCACAGCAGGCAGGCCACTGTTTCTTGCACCAGTAGCATGGAAGGGAAAACTGGGATTTGCTCCAAAAGGAAAAGGGACAGGAGGGTCTAAAAGCTTCCCTTGTAAGAAATAAACTTAAATTTTTAATAGCATTCTGTTCACAACAGCAATATTTTAAGTTACCCATTTCTTGCTGCTTGGCTGGGACACTGGCTTTCTGTGGTTCATTTGTGAATCAGAAGAAAATCCATATTCAGATGTTGCTTTTGTCTGTCACAAAGCATCAGCAGCCCTCTTAAGTGTTGAAGCACATCTTGATGTTTGTTGTGTTTATGTTTTATTTATGGGTTTTTTTCTGTTACTTACTTGAGAGCACCTGAAGGAGGTTTCAGAAAAAAGCCTGCAAAGTTTGACAAGAGAAGAGATGTGAAATTAAGAGAATATTCCTGTTTTCAACATTGAGCTGTCATTTAGAACCTTAGTAGGAGTTCTTTCCCTATATTATTATTTTAGCAGGACTGTTTTGATTATTTTGTACTGCTAATCTCCAAAAAGCTTCCTGAGACTGATGCTGAGAGGAAGTGATGGTGTTACACTCTGAGTATCTGTAGTTAAGCTGATAATTGGACTGTATTTGAGCTGAAACCATTTCTTTTGATGTCCTGTCTGGATGACCCAAGGTTAACAGCAAATTGTAGCCTAACTATGTGTATCCTTCCTAAAGGAAAAGAGTGCTCAAGTAGACACAATTATGTAAGGTTGTTAATGACTTTATGAGTTGCTGGTTGATGTTGCAAAAAGGGTGTAGGAGTGACCCATTAAACAATTAGAAGAAAACACAAGTAGAGTGTCACAAGGCAAGGATAGAAAAATCATCATGCCTCTAGGACAGTAAGGTTGTTTTGTGATATTCCTAGCTCCAGGAAAAATAATTTTCACCTGTCATCCTGTTGTGCCTTTGAGAGTTTCTGTCAACTGTTCTGAAATTCTCATTTGCTCCTTGTTTCAGTTTTTACCAATTATGTCCACACAAATAGGGTTCAGTAATAAGTTCTCATTTTCTGAGGAGACGGATGTTACCACGTGAAGTGCAGATCATACAGACAGCATTGTTTTAAATTTTTATTGTCTGATAAAAAGGCCTTTCTGGCCGAAGTTGATTTTGTAAGATGTATGTTGTAGCTGCTTATAACCATATTATAGGCTAAACTTTTTTTCTGCTATCACAGATGTAGTCTTCAATTAACCAAAACAACTGACTCTGTTCATTAAAGCAGATGCCAAATGCTTTTTTCATTCAATAGTAATAGGCACTACGCAGATAATATTCAAGTAAAGTTTCTCAAGTGTCTAAATGTTCAAGTGCGAACTTTACTGTGGGATTTGTGTAGTGATAGATGAAGAAATAATTGGCAGAAGTCTCTAATTTTTAAATTTAGCTTCACGTTTTTCCTGTGGTGAGAAGATGTCAGTCCCTAATCTGCCACAGCTCCCTGGATGCTGTCTCATTATGTCTTGTGATAGGAAGTGGTAGGATGGTGATCAGGAAATTATTTGAAGATAAACATCCAAGAGTGAATATATTGCTACAAATCATGACACAAGTCTCTCATGCTTTAGCATGTTCCTAGTAAGTCTCCCTTGGATCATTAATATCACTGGAATTTTTCCTCACGCTGGTGATTTTAAAGGATTTTTGTCATGCGCCATTGAACAAAAAATCCTTTAAGAAGGTATTTCAGCATTCTTTGTGTCATAAAAGGAGATTTTCCAATCAGACACGGTTCCTTTGGGATAACTTGTCTGTTGTTCTTCTTTCCTGAGTATTTTGTCAATATGAGTAAATGGGGCCATCCTGATGAAAGGCTGTTTACTTTCCTTTTATAGATTTTAAATCCAATTTCAACATGTGGCAGGTTGTTAGCTTTCCTGATCTCTTAAACCTGTGTTTAAAATTCAGCTGAAAAATTTGGATTCACTTCTGCAGAAGTCATTGAAAAGTTAACCTCATGAAGTCCATCGAGGTCCTGTGCCAGGGCAAGCCCAAGCACAAATCCAGGCTGAGCAGAGAATGGATTGAGATTAGCCCTGAAGAGAAGGACTTGTGGGTGCTGGTGGATGAGAGCCTGGACATGACCTGGTCTTTTGACAAGGGCACAGAGGGACAGGGCAAGTGGGAATGACTTCAAACTGACAGAGGGCAGGTTTAGACTGGATATTAGGAAGAAGTATTAACACTGTGAGGGTGGTGAGGCTCTGGAACAGCTTTCCCAGAGAAGCTGTGGCTGCTCCATCCCTGGAGGTGTCCAAGGCCAGGTTGGAAGGGGTTTGGAACAACCTGGGACAGTGGAAGGTGTCCCTGCCCATGGCAGGGAGTTGGAACTGAATGATCCTGTGTTTCCATGAAAGCCAGGAAGTCTTTTACTACACTGCAGTTTCTGGAGTGCCTCTTGCTAGAGGAAGTTCTTTTATTTTCCAGATTGGTTGTTTTGTAATAACAAATTTTTCATGCCACGAGAGAATATGTTTCCAAATTGTTTTTGTATGAAGAAGTACTTTGTGTTTTGGATGGATAAAAATACCTTGGATTGCAGTTGTAAGGCAGCAGTTTAACTGTAC